GGTGAGAAAGAACTGCTCTGGGGGTGGGCTTTTTGCCCCTTCAGAGTACCAGCCAGGCTTATACACCATTTACTGAACAAAAAAAGGGACAGGACAGGGGGGCTAAAAGGGGGAAAATCGGGTATAGTGGCACCTATTTCTTAAGCAGAGGTACCCTGAGCCAGGTGAACTCACAGGGAAGGTCCTCACTTCGCATTTTTGGGGCAGAGAGCCCCCACCTGCCCAGGCCATCACCATCCTTAGGTTTGAGAGTCCTTAAATCAGAGGTTTCCTCACCTAAACCCGAAGCCACGGCACGAATATCTGCACAACTGCACGTTTAAAACAAGAGATTTTTTTTTTTTTTTGCCTTCCTCAGCAGGAATCACGTCCTGGAGGTTCTCCATATTCTCAGACTCGATATTAAAGCACTTTGTATTTATTCTGTCTCTACAGCTCCAGAAGAACTAATTGTCCCACGTCTGATGTGAGGCACTAAAGTGAGAGAAGCGATGAAAAATGCAGAGGAAAATCCCCGCCTACCTGCACGGTCAGAGCTCCGCTTTCCTGTTTACTCTCCTTATACTTCCTTTTCACCAGAAACAGGGAGATTTTTTTTTTTTTCTCTCTAAAGGATGGGGGGGGGGGGAAAGCCTGTGCTAAACCTGTGACCCCTTCCAGGCTGTAAAACGCCAGACAATGATTCCTCACAGGAAGCTGGACGTTTCACCACGTAAGGGGAAAAAAATGCCTGAGTAAAGCAGAAAAAAAAAAAAAAAAGAAGAAAGAAAAAAGAAAAAAATCCAGCTTGTTAAAACAAAACTAGATAAAAACCCCACAACCAACCCCCAAAAAATGCTACATACTGAAGGTAGAAAACAGATCTCATGGCCAGAGAGGACAGGATTTCTTGTGATCGATTGTAAGGGTGGTATTATTATGCCAAAACCAAAACGAAACCCTCTTTCCCGGTGCCCAGGGTTGTTACCTGTTGTCCCCCCTACAGGCGTCTGATCGTGCAGCTAAACTGCATTGCAAATCCCCTTGCTCTGGAACTCTGCATCTGCTTTCCCCCCCTCCCTTTTAAATAACACGTTTTCTACACCAACTGATTAGAAATGCTGGTATTTGAAAGAAAAAAAAAAAAGGCAAAAAACTCTCTTGTATCTCCCGTGATCAGAGTGGATTTGGAAGTTTGCCTAGGATTATAAAAACTGAATACCTTGGTGTGGGGATCAGACAGTGATGCAGATGATGGATAGGGAAGAGGTGGATGAAGGGATAATCTCTGGATACGCGGGTGGATGACTGTATTTTGGACACACGGTGTTTTAGGGTACGTGAAGGCACTGGATGCAATGTTATATCCCAGGCACACGTTAAGGTGAAGGGAAGTCACTTTTCCTGCCTAAATAGGTCGTTAATAAATCAGGAGAAATAATTTCTGGTCACCAGCACGGACGAGAAGGGTGAAGAAAGAGCAGGCCACCACCTGGTCTAACCCCACCACCATCACAGCCCTCTCCCCACGCCCCTCTCCCCAAATCTCTCCAAGCCCGTGTGGACAAACCGCCTGCAGCCCATCGTGTTCGTGCGGCCAAAATCACCAAGTCCTTCAGCATCCCATAAAATATCTTTATTATCCACTGAAAAGCAGAGATCAGGGAGAGGCTGTTCAGCACAAACCCCGGTCTGCTGGAGAGGGAAGGCTCCCTGCAGCCCCCTTCCCTCGCCTGGATTTGCAGCTTTGGCATCTGTGTTTACAGGCTCCCGGAGCAGATTCGGGGCTGCACTGGCCACCCTCTGACTGCTCCGGGAGAAGCCAGAAGTTCAGATGATGATGGCAAAGATATGAGGAGACACACATGGAGCAGGACAGGAAAAACAGCCCAAGGAAGGAAAAGCAATCTCCAAAGTGTGCTAAAGGGGGACATTCTGCTTTGTGTAAAAGAGACGGACATGTGTCCACCAAATGTTGTCCTACCGTAAAAAAGGGAGAAAGAAAGAGGGGGGGAATAAAAAGAAGCTCGTGACTGTTCTAAATTCTAGGAAACCACCATTCTCCCCCAGCACCTTTGCTGTGAACTATTTTTTTAAAGATTATTTTATTTTTTAAGGAGAGAGGAGGATGAAGGGAGTTGGTTCAGGTGTGGGTGAAGTGTCCCCCCCCCACACCTCCCCTGTAGATGTGACGACTGGGCTTTCAAAAGGAAAAAAATAAGGAGCCTCTCCAGGACTGGGTTGGGGGTTCGAGTTTGGGGGTTTCCCCCTCTATTTTGCTCTAACCGTCCTATTTTGCGAGGACCCTGAGCTGGAAGCCCTGGCCGGGACCACCTGCCCCCACCGCAGCCCCTCGGCCCCGCTCCAGGGCCGGCCCTGCTCTCCTGCCCTTCCCCGCTAACTTGTTTATTTTCCCAAAGAAAGGCGCTGCTGCCCGCCTGGCCCAGAAAGTTGTCACCCTTAGAGGGAGAGAAGGGAATCTGGGAGATCCCGGTGGGTTCAACAAGGTTTGGAGGGTCCGTAGGCAAAGTGCAGCTTCTCTGATTATTTTTCTGTAGCACTTCAAGACAGGCTGGAGACAAAACAGTGGTCAGCAGAGTCTCCACATGGTAGAAATGAACTACGGAAATATGAGGACACTCCTTAGCATTATTAGGGGAAAAAACCACCCCAAACAAGCCGAAACCCAAGAGGAAAAAAAATTTTAAAAAATTAAAATTAAAAAAAAAAAAAAAAAAAAAGCCCTGGGGCTAAAAACACAAAAACAGACCCCCAAACAAACCAACCAACCCTGGTCTCTACACAGGCCCAAAGGAAAAAAAAAAACCAAAACCAAACAAACTGCACACATCTCTTTGGCAAGCAGGTGAAAACAAGTAAAATCCAAAGGTGACAACAACCTGAAGAACACAGACAGAACAGAGCTGATTGAAATGCAAAGGCATGGGCCGGGTTTGTGGCTGTTCGCGAGCAGCATAAACCACCCCGAACCACCTCCACTGAACGAGCAGGAGCAGGAGCCCTTTCACAGGTCGAAGGACAAACCCAAACTTTGCCTGAAGTACACACGTCCCCCGGCAAAGGCAGGATGGAGTTTGCTTTGCGATGATAATGAACCTTTACAGATTTTTTTTTTTTTTTTCTATTTCTCCCGCTTGCACAAAGTTTACTTGCGGGCCTCGAAGCTGGGATGGAAATGTAATGCAATTCCGGCTCTCGGGAGGATGAGAATTAGGACCTCCTAAAAGTGAGAAATAAAGCTCTGAAAGAGAGACAGTCCCTCTTTCCTCCCCGCTCAGCCTTCAGCCATATCAACCCTTTAAAATAGTTTAAGCAGATAATATTTCAGAAGAACTTACTTTCAGGACTCCAGTCTATTGGCTCCCTGGACTGAAAACTGGACCCGCAAAACATGTTCCCTGCAATTGCAACGTTTATCTCATCTGGAAAAGTGCTCACCCATTGCTGCCCCTTACAAGCCAAACCAAGCAGTTAAAGTGTCACTTAACATTCTAGAGAATGTGAAATATATTGTACATTGTCAACTCCCCAAAACCATAAAACTAACTTTATGGACCTCACGTGACTTTTGAGAGCCAGTGAGGGGTATCTGTCTGAGGTCTGGGCGATTTTTACGATCTAACTTCTAGATAAAACCCTATCCATTTGACATCTAAATGTCATACCCACTTTTGGTATAGTTTGCTATTGGTAAAAAAAAAAAAAAAAAAAAAAAGGAAAGAAAGGAAAAAAAAATACCAAAGGAAGGCGAGCAAATGGTTTGGGATCTGACAGTCCACTTCACATCCCTCTCAAAATCACTTAAGAAGTACCTAAACAGTGGGAGATTAAGTTTGGTAAGTTTTAAGCTCCAACTTTACTTGCTACGAACAAAAAAGCCTAAGCTTGTATTGTAGAGATGTCAGTGGCGTTTTGCCAAATCGAGCGACTTTAAACCGGAGTATCTCGTGCCTTGTTAGATTCCCTGGGTAGCGAAATGGCAACATTTGCCATCTTTGATGATGTTAAATTATCTGCAGCCAAAATGCCTCGTTGTAGTGTCAGTAGTTGCAGAGCTGCGAGCTGTTATTTACATGTTAAGCCAGAGGCTGAGAGGTAAAAGCACAATAACCCGAGGACGAGAAGTGGCGGAGAGCTCAGCTTAGCACAGAAATGTGTTCTTTAGAGACGTGTTCGGTACCTCAGCAGATCTCTGCCAGCACACGGACCTGCAATCTCTAGAGCACAGTTTGACGCGTTCGTAGATGTGTCTGCGATACCTCTGGCTTTTGAAATGTGCCTGTTTACAGCTGACAATTCCTGAAACGCACGCGAGTGTGCCGGGGAAGCGTTTAAACCGCGGGAGTGCAACTTGAAGGACTTGCGAGCAGTTTGTGCGATCCGGTGCGGTGTCTGGGGGGGGGGACTGTGTTGTTTTGGGGGACACGGCGTTTTGGGGCAGCGCGAAGCCTGGTGTTTTATTCCCGCGCGGTGCCAGAAAGGTGTTTGGTGGGGATATTTGGTGTCTCGGAGCTCCCAGGGATGCCCAGGAGAGGCTGCAGCTCTGCTGAGGGCTCCCAGCTCCATGCCAGGCATCTCCCCGGCTTTAGCACGAGCTGCAGTTCTCCGAGGTTGTGTACAAAGTGCAACCGGGAGCCTTTTGTGAATAGGAGAAACGTTTATTTGACTTCAAGTAAAGCTACAAACAAATACAAAAAGCTTATTGGCAAAGTACTAACAGGCAGCTAGACATGACAGATGCCATTTTTACACATAACATTGCATTCACTCTGCCCACTACGACCCGGCTATTAGTCACATCAGAAATATTTCTAGTATTTACAAACATTAGAGCACTCCATTGTTGGTCCGATTTTATACATTTTTTTTTCCTTTTAATAGTGAAGTTTACCCACGTCTAAGAGTACGTCTCGGAATTAGCCTGGGACTAGAAATCCTGGCCTGAAGTTTGGACTAAAACACAGACTGGACAATTTTAAGACAGAAAGATACAAGAGCTGTTTCCTTTTTTTTTTTTTTTTCTTTTTTCCATTTTTTAAATTTTTGTTTGGTTTTTTAGACTATTTTTTTTCTGCGACTGTAGTGCAGGAACCCCCGATTTTAGCTTAGGCAGAGAAGAACTCACCCAAAAGCAGTAAACTCAGAAAAGAGGGAAAAGAAAAGAATCCCAACAAATAAACAAACAATCGTATCTGTTCTCAGTTTATAAATAAGTTATAACATTTAAAGAGCTCACAGAACACATGCTAGCTTTCCAGAAAGCATCAAGAGAGCACGGACACATACATTTATAAGAACAACAAGAGCATGAGGAGCATCTGGAAATAAAATTTAATTAAAAAAAAAAAAAAAAAAGAAAAAATCTTTTTTTTAAAAAAAAACCCCAAACAGAACAAGACATGAACTCAGTCCTGGGATAACAGTACCATAAGAGTTGTTTTAGAATAGCAACAACATGCCGAAAAGAAGGTGCCTCACTGTACAGTACTCGGGAACTAAGATCTGCGGCGCTTTATTTATTTATTTCTCTCTCTTCTCGCCTCCTCTTCTTTCTCCTCGATATTCCTCCTCTAGAATTTATGGCTGAAAGGCGCTGCCCGCCGAGGCTAAGCTCATGCTTTTCAGTTTATTATCCTTCTTCCATTTCATCCTCCTGTTCTGGAACCAGATTTTGATCTGGCGCTCGGAGAGGCAGAGAGCGTGAGCGATCTCTATTCTCCTCCTGCGGGTGAGATATCTATTGAAGTGGAATTCCTTTTCCAACTCCAGGGTCTGGTAGCGAGTGTACGCTGTCCTCGCCCTCTTACCGTCTGGTCCAGTCATGTCTGAATAACACGGACAACAGCGGGGTTTGGGTTTTTGGCTTTCTGCTAGAATTTCTTTTTGTTTAAGGCTATTTTTCTTTTTCCTTTTTTTTTTTTTTTTTTTTTTAAACCGGCGTAAAATATTCGCCTTGCTCCTGCAGCTTGGAAAGCTGCTTATTCCCCAAATAACAGCCCCCCCTCCTCCTCTTTCTCCCACACCCCCAGACACGTGTAAAACCCCCCACCCTTGGCCCCTCCAGAACCGACATTCCCAACTCAATATCCATAATTTAACTGGAGAAGCGAGAGCTTGAAATCTCCCTTTTTTCGCCTCTGCCTGGGGTGTTTCTGGGTCTGTTTGCAGGGAATGTCAGGGTTAGTGCTGCTTTCTTGTCTCCAGGAGAAAACCAAGAAGGGAAGGGGGGGGGGGTCGCTACTCCCCGTGTATCTCCTCGCAATTTTGGTTTTAAGAGCAGATTGTCAAGAATACACCCGGCAAAATAAGAGTAGGAAAGGACTGGGAGACCCATCTGTGCATATAATGCCATTTTAATGGTCAATTCTTTCCTTTCCCCCCCCACCCCCAAGGAACACCCCCCTAGCCTCAATTTTTAAATTACCTTCTCCCACCGTCCACATAGTGCTACGAGCTTAAAATAAGCACCCCTTTCGCGGCAAAGAATAGAGAAACTAAAATAAAATCGACCCCCCCACACCCCTCCCTTCCAGGCGCCAGAGGCAGCTTTAAAGCAGCGATCAGAGCAAGAAATACAAAAGCAATAAATAGCTGCGTTTCTGATCAAAGCGCCTCCACCGAATAAAAGGAAGGAGAGGAAAAAGGGAGTGGGGTGGGGGGGGGTGGAGAGGGAAAAAAAGGGGGGGAAAGGGGAAAAAGAAAAAAAGAAAGACGAGAGAAAAAGAGAGGGGGGTGCGAAAATAAACAACAACAACGACAACGACGGAAAAAGAAGTAGCTGTACCATGGCTAATGTGAAGTTTCCTCATCCAAGGGAATATCTGAGGTGCCTGCCCTTCTGTTGCTGCGGTGGAGGTTGCGATGGGCTCTGCCTGCGCTCGGGGGATGCTGCTGCTTATTGGAGTGCCCTCGTCGGCTCCCGAGGACGCGCTGGTCTCGTCTAGTTCTGTGAAATTTGTGTTGGTGGTGCTGGCAGAAGTAGCTTGGTCGGAGGGGGACGGGGCGGGTTTGCCTCCATGGCTCTCGCTGTTGGAGCAGGGAAGGGAGTCGGGAGAAGATAAGGAGCAGCTAGACGCCTGTCTAAACCTGCTCTCCTGAGCTGGAGAAGGGAAACCGCGGGAGCTCTCCCCCACAGCCCCAAAGTGACTAGAGGAGGCTGAGCGGTTGATGCTAAGGTCCATCCCATTGTAGTTGTAGCCATAAGAGCTGGAATGCATGGTGCTTGAATCTCTGTAAGAACCGTTCATGGAACTGCTGGTCCCATAATTTAGTAACTGATAGTCGGGGCCATTTGGGTAGCGCCCTGAGAACGAGTTTACAAAGTAAGAGCTCATTTGGGTTATTTTGGAGGGCTTGATTTGTGGCTCGTGGTCGTTATAACCCTGTGCTTGACGATTTATGATGTATTAATGAATTATAGCAATGCACTGTACTTCGTTTTTGCTATGTATGCGGCCAAATATGGGGGGAGGGTGGGGGGTGCGTTTGGGAATCACGTGCTTTTGTTGACCAGTCGTAAATTCTCACTGATGACCTCAAGAGGTAATTCATGCTCTATGGTTACAAATAATGACGATCGCGGAGCCGTTTAGGCCCGACTCGGTGCGCGGCGCCCCCAAATCCCCGGGCGCGCCGGCGCCGCCATCGCCCCCCACCTTGGCGGACCGCGCCACCTGCCGGCAACGCGGGGGCGGTGCAGCCCCTCCCGGGGGGGCCCCCGAGCCCCCCAAAACCTCCCCATCCCCTCCTCTCCCCACCACGGCCCCCGTCCCACCACGCTTTTATTCCCTCTTTTTTTTTCTTCTCCAAAAAAAAAAAAAAATTAAAAAAAAAAAATCGACACCCAGACGACACACACACACAAAAAAAACAACCCAAAAAAACCGCGTGGAGGGATATTGGGGGAGGTTGGGGTGGTGTGTTCTCGCCGCGCTGTCCCCGCGTGGATCTTCTTGTCCTTTTTATTAAAGTCTTTGATTTCTTCCTTTTTGTAAAAATAATAATAATAAAAAAAAGCGGCGGGGAAGTTTGGGAGGAGGCGAGGGATGAGGTGCCGGCTCGCTGGGAGGCCGGGAGGGTCTTCTCTGGTGATATCTGGAGTGGGGGGCAATGAGAAGCTGCTTGTTGAGGAGGGACCGTGTGTGCTTTGGGGTTATTTCGCGTGGTTCTGGCCAGAAAAGTCGAGGTTTCTTGCACGCTGAGCGTGGGGCCAGCGATGCGGTCGCACCTTAATTCTGGAGGGGAAAATAAAACAAAAAAAGAAAAAGGAAAAAAAAAAGGGGGAAACGAGGGGGTAGGAGAAAGGAAAAGGAGGGAAAATCCGGCCGGTGGAACTGGTTGACAACATTGCTTTTAGGATATTCTTGTTCCTGAGCGTTTCACGTTGTCTTTGGACACAGCATTGTGCTAGGAGGTTTTTCCTTCCCATTTGTTAACCTGCAAGGAATACTGGGGAGCAAAAGCACTCTGAAATTGGTAAAAACGTTGGGAAAGGGCTGCGCTTTGTTAAGCATTACTTTCTTTTTTTTTCCCCCTTCTCTATTTTTTTTCTCTCTCTCTCTCCTTTCTTTTTTCTTTTTCTTTTTCTTTTTCTTTTTTTTTTTTTTCCAAGGCAGTTTAGGAATTTCATCTGCTTGTCTGCAACTCATTGGAAATTATGCGCCATATTGAAAGTGACATATAATTATAATAATTACGGGCAATGAAAAGCGTGGCAATAATAGTAAATGTCCTACAGCTGTGAAGCTTCTGCATGAATTGATTTTAAAAGTGACTGACATTAAACCAGCTTGTGGCATGGGGGAATGCATTCATACATAGGTATTTCTGCTGGGGAGTGGGGAAAGGGGATGGGAGGCAGGAGATGCTGTTTCAAGGCGTTTTCCCCCCGCGAAGCTGCAGAAAACGGTGTCCGAAATCGGCTGGGCTGCTCGCTTGTTCGCAGATCTAAATCCCTCAGCAGAAAGAGCAGTTCCTTTCGTTTCATTGCCCAAACCCAGGAAAAGTTGGCTGCTTGCACGGGGTTCCTTGGTGCGGAGCAGGAACGGTCCCCATCCCATCCCCAGCGGAGTCCGCCTCTCCCAAGGAGCCACTGGAAACGCTTTCAAGGGAAAATAAAAATCTGCTCCTTCAAAAGAGCTCGTTAGATTTAGTTTAGAATTTTTTTTTTTTACGCCTTTCCCCCCCCTCACCCACCTCAAATGGACGCTGAATCCCTGGAGCTGAGGAGCTCCTGGTTTCGCAGGGCAAATTCCCTGGAAATCTGGACTTTTTTGCGATACACTTCGCTTTGATTTGGGGATGTGAAGTAAGGGAGCAGATGTTTGAAAGATGCTAGGCAAATGTTAGGTATCTTTGGTAGATGAATGAGAGCATATTTTTGCCCGTTTCCTTGATTTATTATGTATATGGAGAGCGTTTCGTCATAACTCTTTGTACTGTAACAATAAAAAAGAGCGATACTAAAGCAGAATGTCAGCGAGGAAATACTATTGGTGAAAGGTCTTCCATTTGAGATTAGACAAAAAGAGGGAAAACCAGATTTATCTCTCCACTGTAACTTCCGTGTTGCTTCGAGTTGCTTGTCCTTGCAGATTAGAAGACATTGTCATACAGAGGGAAGCAAGGCTTTCTTTACAACCCTCTGCTCCTTAAGAGTGGCAAGTTCCCCTGGAAAAGGGAAAGATAATAACAATAACAGCAATAATAATGACAGGGGGGTGTGCGTGAGATCGAAGACTTCGCTTTTATTAGAGAATTCCATGTTCATACCTAAGACAAACTTCAAACACAACACGTACAAAAATTAATAAAATAGAACTTTCTGTTGTTGCTTTTGCATCCTTTTAGGTAGTACTCGTTCTTTCAGTAGATTTTCCTTAAAAAAAAAAAAAAAAAAAAAAAAGAGGCAAAAAAACCCTCCCCAAAACAAATTACAAAGACCCCAGGGCTTGATTAATTTACCAAAGGAGAAAAAAATAAAGGAAAAAAAACAAAACTAAACAAACCTATGTCAACCGTGCATGAAACATTTTTACAAAATTAAGACAATAAACACCCCAAATGACATATATTGCAGCACTTCCATTAAATACAAGAGTTAGCAGATTACTAACAGTGACACCAAGGGTAGAAACACGGCTAGGAGTCCTTTTTTTTTTTTTTTTTTTTCCTCTTTCCCTTCCTCTCCCTCCTTCTCTCTCTATCTCTTCACTTTTTAATTATTGTTATTATTATTTCATTGCAGGGGGAGGAGGGGGGTGGAGTGGGAGGGAAGGGAGGTCTAGGAAGGGAAAAAAAAAATAATTAAAAACGCAACTAGAAGCCTGAATTTTTTTTTCTGGACACAACAGAACACTGGGAATACGAGTCCATGGCATTGGTGGCCCAAACTTTCTGCTGCTGCCGCTGCTGCAGAGGGCTTGTCCCACCAACGTGCAGGTTTTCCCTGTCCTCGCAGCCAGCCCACACCCCCCTCATCCTCTCGGCTCTCACACACACTCACTCACTCCCTAATTTTTTTTTTCCTGTGTGTGTTTTAAATAATACTTTCACTCCGCCGTTTTCTCCTCCTCCTCCTCCGCGCTGAGTTGCGAGGAGTTGAGCAATTTATTCTCTTTTTTCCACTTCATCCTGCGGTTCTGGAACCAAATTTTGATTTGCCGCTCCGTCAGGCAGAGGGAATGGGCGATCTCGATGCGCCGGCGCCGGGTCAGGTAGCGGTTGAAGTGGAATTCCTTCTCCAGCTCCAGCGTCTGGTAGCGGGTGTAGGTCTGGCGGCCTCGACGGCCGCTGGGCCCGAAGGAAGAACCTGTGACACCCGCAAAAAAAAATAGGAAACAAATAGGAGACACGTAGGAAACAAATAGAGGGGGAAATAGGGGGAAATGGAGGGGGGAAGGAGAGGAATAAAGGACCCTGGAGAGGAAAAAAAAAAGGGGAGCCCCGAGGTTTAGTGGAGCGCGGAGATGCCGGCTCAGCCGCCCCGCACAGGGCTGTGTGGCCGCTCCCCTGCCCTCCAAAGGCTCTGGCCAACTGCAGCTGAAGCCCCGCGCTTGGGAAGCCCTGAGAGGTTCCCTGGCCGGGCCGCAGCCGCGGAGGATCCGCGGCCGCGCAGGGGGGTTAATGCTGGACTTGCCCGGCCGAGCAGGGCTGGGGAGACAGGGCCAGATCTATCTTATTCCGGCATGAAAAATCGCAAGGTGTTCTCAGCACCCCCCCTCGCCCGCCCTCGCTGTTTTCCACCCTACCGGCAACTGTAATAGATCTGAGCATTTAAGCAATAATGAAGTGGATCGATCTGCCCAAACTCTGCATTAAAGAGGACACAACACTTTATGTCCCTGCGCTAATGGACATCAATTTGGAACTTAAAAGGCAACAAATGCATCTAAACAGGGGAAGGAGGGTAGCGAGCCTCTATTATTTTTCTTTCCCCCCCCCTCAAGTTGTTGTTTTGTTTTTTTCCTTTTTTTTTTTTTTTCTTTTTAATTCTGATTGAGGAAACAGCACTTAAAGAAGTCATATATCACCAGGGGGAAAAAAGAATCCTCCCCAGGCAGACTTTTCATTATGCGTGAATTTCATTAAAAATGTAACCGTCTCCCTTCACGTATTTAAACACTTCTATATTATTTAACTCCAGATCGGGTAGCCAGCGAGAGAGGGAGCTGCGTGGGGGTGTGGGTCCGTGTGTGTGTGTAAAGTCATCCAGATCTGATTTAGAAAAGATATCTCCCTGTGCGTGTTGGGGGAAAGACAGAGACAAATCGTTGTAGCTGAGTGACACGCAAACTGGAATGTGGAAAAGAGAAAAAAAAAAGGGGGGGGGAGGAAGAGAAATACTGTATTGGGATTTAAATACGGGGCAAAGTTTTTAGCTCGGGGGGGTTGCTGGGAGAAAATGCTTCAGCGGTGGGAAGTTTTGGTGCGTGTCAGGAGCAAGTTGGAGCCTCTCGTGTCGCCTAAGTTCCCCGCTGGAAGTTTGGGCTCTAAAGTGAACCTTATTCCTGCTTCCCTCGCTCGCTCGCTCTCTCTCTCTCTGGCGGTTAACAAATAAGAAAGGGGGGGAGGAGATTGATGTATTTATTTCTGTAAAAGAGTAAACTCACTATTGCAAGAGTTCATCCGCTGCATCCAGGGGTAAACCGGGGCGGAACACTTTTGCTCCTCGCTCTCTCCGAACACAGTTTTGCTCTGCGCGCAGTCCGACTTGCGCGGCTCGGGGGCGAAGGGCACCTCGTCCAGGCTGGGGGGGGCGCACGCAGGGTCCTTCTCCCTGAAAAAGCCGCCGGCCCCATAGTCACAGGCGGAGCCGCGGCTGTAGGCTCCGTTGCTTTGCTGGTAGTAAGGAGAGGAGGAATAGCCCTTCTCCTGGACGCCCGTGGCTCCATAGGTGGTGGGGTAGTGCCTCAAAGGATCCGCATAGCCCGAGGGATATAGCGGGATCTGTCCCAGGAAGGGCTCCTGCCCCGCCGCCAGACTCACCGGGAAGGTCGAGTTGACAAAATAAGAACTCATTGGAAGGAGCCTCGCCGTCCTTTCCCGGCTTTATGATTTGTTGTGTTTTATAGTCCAAGTGGTTTAGCTATTAGTAGTATATCGGAGATTGGGTTTTAGCTGAAGGGAGATGGCGTGGTGCCAGCGAGGGACACAAGGAAATACAACCATCTGATCATGGGCTGACCAATAGCAGGCGCCTGAGGTTGCAAAATAGCACCCATGAGGAGCTGAGATTGCACCAGGGACCCTAAGAACAAACCATCCACCCCCTTTTCCCTCCCTTTTAAACAACAGAAATGCACCCCCTTAACCAAATATATAATATCTGCCGAAAGAAACATTCCCGGCGCGCTCGGAGCTTCATAAATAAATAAACGTGTGTTCCCCCCCTCCCTTCCTCCCTCCCCCGGAGCTCAGCGCGGGGGTGTGCGAGCGCCCGTCTGCACGGATGGCGGTGTGCGCGCCTATATATATTTATATATATTTACACATATGTAACGTGGACAAATACCCGCTGTAAGTGGAGGGGAGGGGGGGGGAAGAGTTAATCATTTGCATTCGGAAAACTTAAACCCCTCGTGTTTGCAAATCGTCCTAAAATGTCCGGGTACTTCGCTAGAGTTAAATAAAACCTGGGAGGGGGCTGGGGAGGGAGAGGAAAAAAAAAAAGAAATAAAAAGTTTTTTGTGCGAACTTTGCAAGGAGGTGATCCTGCCGGGTTGATTAAGTTAGATTTGCTATATGAGAAGAAATCGGTTTTGACAACATATTTCGGTTCGTGCTTGTCTAATTACCATAGATTAGCACTCCCTGCTCAGGAAAGCTGCGCTCGATTGAACCCAACCATCCCTTTGCATCTATTGCATCTTTCCCCTCTCTCGTTTCTGCAAAAGCTCCGTATTCCGAAGATAAATGGAAAATCGAAGTATTTCCCTCATCCTTTGCTAAATCCCGATCTCCTCCGGTGTCCGGCACCGCATTGTGCCCTCTTGCGTTTTTTTGTTAATACCAAATCTATGCCCGACCTTTTATGGCTAAAAAAGAGCCTTGAGTTATGGTCAAAAGCTGAGTTTATTGATTGTTACCGATCGAGATGTCGGGGGGGGTTCTAAGGAGGGCAAAGCTGCCCCGGAGGTGCGCAGGGTTCGCACCCCCCGCTTTGAGCCCGTCCCCAATGCAAAACAGCTATTTCTGCAAAGTTCGAAGGCTGGAGAGGGTAACGCCGAAAGTCTCGAGCAATTCCCCGTCACCCTAAAAGCTCCACTTCGCTCTGGGCTTGCTCTGGGTTTTTGCCTCTCCCGGTTTGCCCGGATTCGCTGGCCAGAGATGGGCTTTGCTCTACCTGTGCATCCCCCCCTTCAGCTCCTCGGTTGCTCAAGGTAGAACTGCAGATCTGCTCGCCGCCTGCTTTATTTTCAAGTGGGAAAATCAAAGTCATCGCACAGGAAAACAAAACAAATAAAATTAAAAAAAAATCCGCCTAAATTAACCCCAGGACCGTGCCCCGATCATTCCCGTTTTATCAAGGATTTGTTTCCTGTCCGAATTTGTAACCATCTGTCTGTCGGGTCTGATACGCAGTGAAATGACACGCCTTATAATACACACTCCCCACTACTTGAATCTGTGAATGTGTGTGCCACAAATCTAGAATTACATGTATTACATGGTGGCTGTAGAGCTGCCAATGCGGCTCTCTCTGACGGAGCTTTAAGTATCTACGAAACCGGGATCTTATTACGAGCTAATTTATTTTAAACATCGTGTTTACAGCAGCAAAGCCAAGATTGTTTCATGCCACGGCTGCAATGAACATTTCGACTGAAACGTAATCCTTATAATTCAAGGAAATAACATGCAAAGGAAGTAGTTTTCCATCCTCCACCCCCTCTCTGACTGATATCTTTTATATTTGTTCTTGCAGAGTTTCCCTTTGTGTATGGAATGGACCCAAACTTACGTAGATCTGCTTTATTGGTATGCAAGGAAAAAAAAATGTGAGATTGAAAGGGAACGGTGACCAGAGAAGAAGGAAAAAAAAAAAAAAAAAAAAAGCTCAGATGAGAGCCTGAAGTTTTCTGCTTTGCAGGAGCCGAACAGCTCATACATTTGATTAGAGAGTTACGCAATATTTGTAGCTCTGCAAACCCAGTGATTATCTGGCAGCAGCAACCCCGCATGCAAATTTTTGGGCAAAGAAATGGGATGTCCTGATAATTCAATGCGTGAGTACATCTGCTGAAAATGTTTGCTCTCATATTTTCTCCCACTTCTCGTGATTGCTCTGCAAATAAATCCCTCCAAATAGTTTGGGGGGTGAGGGGGGAGGGTGGAATCTCATACCCCCAGATCCCAACGCTGCTCGTTGTCGTAATTTGTGGCTGAAACAGGCTCTTTACGTAGTTTGACAGTCGACATTTTAAAAGAAAATAAACCCGTTCTAACTGAAGGTGACCGCTTGCTAATTGCCTATTGCTGACATCTTAGATGCGCTATAGAAAAAAAAAACCCTTTCCTCTTAGAAGGACGACCCTATAAGTGGTTATTTGGGGGAGTTTAAAAGAAAACTTGGTTCCCAACTTGGGGGAAAAAAAAACCACAAACCCCAACAACCCAAAGCATGTCATAGTTTTCATCTTCCAGAGGGTCAGGCCCGCGGTCTAATTGATTTGCCACCTATGATACATGTAAATACGAGCAGAGGTCTTTAAACCGCACTAAATCTCCGAGAATTGAATGTTAAAGCACAGGCGTGGTTTCTGCTCCCAGTTCGGTAGCTTGAAATGTGTAATTTAAAATATAAAAGTCCGGGTTATTAGTGTAGCTGTTTAACAGACGCCCTCCCGCCTGAGGTCCGAAGTAAATCCGAGACGGATTTTGCGAATGTATTTTCTTTGGACGCCTCCAACGCCAGCTCAGCCGGGAGGGAGACAGACAGGAGCAACAACGGCTGAAGCCAGCTCGTGCAGTAGCCCTTAAGTTAGACTGGTCTCTGAGGGCACCGATGGGCGCATCTTCCTGCAGTTTTTGGCCTCATCTCCCCCAAAAACAGGCGCAAGGTTTGCTGAGAAGGAGCCCTAAAGTGGGGAACTGGCGAGACGCACCAGAAGGTGGTCTAAAGCATTTAACTGCTCTGCGAGGGCGGCTTTCCCCTCCTGACAGACATCACTCAGCTGCCAGGGAATAAATAAAGATAAAGACAAGAATTTACAGTATGTACAACCCCAGTTCTCTGCTCAGGAAGGTCCCACTTTTTGTCGCTTGGCTTTTTCTGGCCAGCGAAGACCAAGCCCACCAAGCAGAGCCAGGCAGATAGATGAGGGGATTAAAACAACACCCAAATATTTCGAAATGAAAACAGAACAGAGCATTGCTTGTGTGAAAGCTGAAACCGCTAAGAACTTGGTAAAGAGTTCAGTGCAGTTGGTTCCAATAAAAAATGAAACTCTCTTTTTTTCGTGGGGAGCTGGAATTCCCGATCCTTCTGAAGTGAGAACACAGCGGGGGTTTCCCTACCGAGGGACTTATTGCAGCCATAAAGTCAAGCCAACACCACGAAAACACTTGAAAAAAGCCCTTGTTCTTGGAACTCAGACAGAGAAAGCCATTGGCAGCAGTGAAGCCTGCCCTGTAATGCTCATGCACACCCAAAATCACATCGGAAAAATAAACCCGACGGAGCCATGAGCTCCAGGACTGGAGTATTTAAAACAACGACCCCCGAAGGTGTAAAAAAATCCCCGCTCTCCAGGCGCAAAACCGCCTGAAACTCAATTTCCAGCAATGTAAGTTTAATTTACCTGACTTCCCGTGCAGTGCATAATAACCTTGTTAATGGGATCCTTGAAAAGAAGCAATAATAATCTACCATTGTTCCATTAAAGAGTGCGGCTAATTATTAACAAAAAGGGGGGAAAAAAGGGGAGGGGGGGGGGAGTTGTGGAGGAGAGGAGGGGGAGGGCAGAGGGAGAGAGGAGCATTGAGGGAGTCAAAATGGGTCCAGACCCAAATATTTCCGCGAAAGCAGCTCCCGGGAAGGGGACAGGGGGGCTACTGGTCAAATAATGTGGGGAAAGCAGGGAGAAGGAGAGGAAAAGGCGAGACGGATCATGTAATGCTGGAAACCAATGCTGGGGGGTGTTGGGAATTACAGCATGGAACAAGTTAATCATGGCTGTTTGGTCAAAAGGGAGAAACTTTTTTTTTTTTTCTTTCTTTTTTTTTTTTTTTCACATGGTCCCTGGACATCTCACTTTCTTCGAGAAAATGTCTCTAGTCTAGACGTAAACAGTTGCCAGGAAACTGTGTGGCAGAAGGAGAAAACGAGAGGGAGAAAGCGAGAGGGAGGGAGGGAGGGAGAGAGAGAAACCTTTTAAAATAACAGACGCGCATTGTCCCTTCAAAGCCTACAGTAACTTAAAAGTGATCCGTCGTCTGCCTCTGCTCCCAGCGCCTTCCCCAGCAACCACCTCAACCCCGCGGCCGCCACTTGACATATCTTTTCCAGACCCCACCGAAATGACCACTGCGAGCAATAAAGAAATAAAAGCTCCTCTGCCTTTTATGATGAGCTGCAAACCACCCCCACCTTCCCCCCCCTCTCCGCGCCTCGCACGTCATGATTACACCGCATTTTACAACATCTCCGCTTGTGTTCGCGCCCAGCCACCAACCAGTCACCTTTCATCTTCCGTGTGCGTGCACGTGGATGGATGGGTGGATGGGTGGATGGGTGGATGGATGGATGGATGGATGGATGGATGGATGGATGGATGGATGGATGGATGGATGGAAGGATGGAGGCCATGTATGTGCGCGCACATGCGGATTTGGGACAGGCTGGGGGATGTGTGGATGTATCAGATGCCCACATCTCACGCATATGCGCCAGCGCGTCCTCTCGCTGTATTTCCATCCTCTTTTAGCCTCCAGATAATGTACATACACGCATTTCCGTGCCTAAAAACGCATCCACCGCCCGCAGCCCGCAGTGCGCCTTGAGGGCTAAGCGCGGTCCGCGCTTTACCCGGGGGGTGCGCTGCGGGGAGAGGGGAGGCCGGACGGGGCAGGGACCTCCCCGGCGGGGCACGGGCTGCGGGGGAGCCCCCCGGGAGCCGCCGCCCGCCGCCGCCGACGGTAGATGGCAGCAGACGGCGGGGAATGGGCGAGCCCCGCAGCGCGGCGGCGGCGGCACCGGGGGGATGCGCGGCGGGGGCTGCCCGCCCGTCCGGCCCTTTTCCTCCCTTTTCCTAAACAAACAAGCGGGATACCAGGAGGGGAGACGAGCCAGGAGACACTCGGACCCCCAGCACACGCACAGCGGGGGCGCACGGGGGGTTCCTCGGT